ATGGTTAGGGGGAAATATCCTTATCTCTGGTCCATGTAAAGGTCACAAAAATGCCTGCCCTTCCCTGCTAAGGTAACTTGTGTTCTTATCAGCATTTCAGGTCTATGTTTCTCCTGCAAATAATAGGTTGTTTGCTGAGGAATATAACATATCTTATTGACTTAAATCAGACAGGGTTGCAGATAAATTGCTTTCTGACAGAAAGCATGTGGGGGTCAACACCCTGGGCCCAGTTTATAGAATTATTCCCTTAATTCAAGGGTGTAAGGTCAGGCAATGACCGGAACCAAAAAGGAGGCAAATTTTAAAAGGCCACTGAAGGAGGCTTGGCTTTATATAGTTCCGCCTGGAGTGGAATCTCAATCAGACCAACAGAGCAGATAGGAGAAACTGCATGGGGACGACTGAATTGGAGTTTTATGGGGCTTAAGGCAGGAAGCGAGGGCTTGGGACAAGAAAAGGGATTTTTAGAGTCCCTTGTCCCACTGGAGTTGGTCCTGGGAACTGGCTGAGATCCAGGATTGGCCAGGAGACCCCACTGATTGACAGACAGTTCCCTCAGTACCTGATTGGTGTTTCTTTTGCATGGGGCTACTAGGTGCTTTGTTCCTAAGTCACCTTCATTGACCTCACAAAGGGTTGTCTGTTCCCTATCAATGAGGGGAGAACTGCTCTTTCAGAGTCCAGAGAGAACATTCTTCCAAAATGTACAATTTCTACCCTAATTCTACACCATCATCACCTCACTCCTCATTCCTTAGGTAACCAAGAACATATCAGAAGATGATCAACACACAAAGAGACACTAGGTCTTCCTTCTAAAGGCACCTGATAATGCTCCAAAATTGACTTAGGATATGGAGTATTCTTGCGAGTTAGGGTTTTACAGAAACTTAGCTTGAAGGGTTTTCTGCCACAGATTTGTACCTATATAGTTTGAGCTTTAGATATTTTTGTCCTAAGAAACAGGAAAGGAACCCAGTTTTTTGAGAACCCTCCACAAATGGTGTCTCATTTAATCCTGGCAAAAACTCGGCAAAGGAATATAATTATGCCCATTTTATGAACAGCAAGCCAGAGGTTCAGTAAATTTGTATAACTTGCCCAGAGTTGCACAGCTTCCAAGAGGCAGAGTCAATCTAAAATCAGCTCTCTCTGGCTCCCCTTCCCTTCCCTCCCCTGTGAAACCACCTCCAGATGTAAGCTCCTGGCTGAAAAAGAGGTGGTAAGAACAACTGACAACTCTTCCTGCTGACATGTATCATATCTGCCACTACTGCTGGAGGCATTCTGCCAAATACTCAGAGAGCTTGTTTACAAAATAAGGCGCCAACCTTCTCTCCACATTAACCACCCTGGAACAGGGAGGGCTCCACACTTTGCACAGATCAGAACCCCCTGTGTGCTTCCCTCTCTTCAAAACCAGCTTGCTTCTATAAGCTTAGCAGAAAAGTGAATAAAATGTTCTCGGTAGCCCTGGAAATCCCCCAATAAGAGCTCTAAAATCATCTCAAGTCTACAGACTGTGAATTAGAAGGAAGAGAAATTACTGGGTTTGGAGTTTTGAACTATCGGATCTAGGACAAATATCTCCCATTCTCAGGTTCTTTGTATGTAAAATAAAGGGGTTATGGCATAGGAGAGTATACTATACAGTGCTGCGGTGGGGGTTAGTTAATTGACTAGGTATTACAGTCATCCTATTGTAGAAGTCTCCCATAGGTCTAGGGGAACCAAATGCTTGCAGAGACTTCTTGGCTTTTTAGTCCCACTGAAAAACACAGAAGGATGAGTGGCTGAGTGTGAAAATTAGTTGCAAGGGTAGGACTCCCTTCTGTGACTAATCAGGTGAGTGAATGGCAAAGGCCTATAATGGAAAAGACCCAGTCAGATCCTCATCTTTGGTATTCTCTGCATACTTGGAGTTTAAGGCCTGAGAGCTAGAATTCCCCTTTGGGAAAGAATTGTAAGTCAATAAAAAGGAAAAGATGAATATGGAGGAAAAGAATACCAATCCTCTCTGTATTCAGAAATATAAAAGGAATCTCATGAAGGAAAGTCTCCAGGTACTCAACCTGAAGATTGTTCTAATATATCACCCTAAACCCTCTGTATCAAACACGAATAAGTAGGGACGGGCTGGGCCCTTGCAAAATGCTCAGATACCTCATTTGTGCAGTATTTTCCTTAATCCTAAACAAGCAGGTGGACTTAGCTCCATTTTAAAGATGAAACTGAGGCACTGAGAGATGGACTTGCCCTAACCTTTTTGGTTTCATAAGTCTCCACCGTTGAGCATACCATGAAAATCTTATGGGCACTTAGCTTTCTAACTACTCGAAGGCTTTTTCCAGGGCATTGTCATTGACAAGGAACAGGAAGGATAAAACTGATATCTTTAGCACATTCAGGTATACCCTACTTTAAAGATAACTGCATATCATAAGAATTCCCACTGAGGTACAGGTATGTGAAGGCATTACATTTTGGCATTTTAGAGGGATATTTTCATTTAAACCAGTTTCAACAAATAGCTCTTTTGTATTCAAAATTACCCTTGATGTGCTTTTTAAGTATGACCTGATTTGCCAAATCCCAACTTGTGTTCAGGAGTCCCTTCCCAGGACAGAGCTTCCACCAGCGGTGTCTTCTCCATAATACCATCACTCACAGTGATGGGAGGCTGGGACAAGGGGAAATGACCTCAAGAAAGGTCACAAGAAGCAAAAGGAAGAAGAGAAAGGAACATTTGAAAGCTGATCATAACCAAATAAAGCCCAGAGAAATGGAACAGTGAATGGATTTGCATTGTCCCACTGTGCCTCAGGAACAGGCCAAATTAGTCCCATTTATCCGCAGATTTATCCATAATTTACTTTGGCTCCACATCTCCAGTGCTTTACCTAAATTATGTGGCGTGTGGCTTAGTTTCCATTATGCAGTTGCCATAGCACTTCCTCCACTTGGCTGTCTTTCAGAGAATGAAGAAAGGCATCCATTGGAAGGGGGCGGGAACACACCAGGAGTGTGGGGAAGGTTGCAAACCTCCAGTGAGCTGGGAGGAGGGAGCAGGTTGTGAGGGATTTTGAATTTAAGAGCTTATTTATTAGATCAAGCTGCTTAGCAAGTTTAATGAGGTTTCAATGAGAATTATTCTTGGGGCTGGGGGAAGCGGGCAGGGCTCTCTTTGGGGTAACAAGAGACAGAATTGGAGAGTTTTAAGGAGAAATATTGAGGGAGCTGGGGCTTTACCAAACTCACTAGCCCTGAGAGGATAGTACAGACCCTCCCCAGGAACCAAGTACCATGCTGCTCACCTCCTTCAACTTTTCCCTCTGCTAAGCCCCCTCTGAGGAGCGAAGTGTCATATTGCCTGCAAGTATTCTGGCCATCAACTTCAGATGCCTGTGAACTCCCAAAACATGTGCTTGATTTTATAAGTAGACACATTTTTCTAGACTTAGGCACTACATCTTATGCAGTTCTCAGAGGGACCGTCCTTAAAAATGAAACTCAGACATTCTGGTGTTAGCCCTAGAAGAACATTCCAGATCCTGGTTGTTTTTGTTAGATTTTTTTTTTTTTTTTTTTTTTGCTGTGACCAAAAGTCCTGACAAAAACAACATAGAGTAGAAAAAGTTCATTTTGGCCCACAGTTCCAGAGGTTCAGTCCATGGTTAGCCAGCTCCATACCTTTGGGCCTTAGATGAGTCAGAGCATCGTGGTGGAAGAAAGCAGCTCAACACATGGGGATCAGAAAGCAGGCTTACAAAGCATTCCCCCAGTCTCTCACCTCATCAAGCCACACCTTACCTGCTTACCTAGGTTACCACCGAGTGAATCTATATCAGTAGCTCAATCCACTGATGAGGTTACAAACAATCTAATCACTACACCTCTGAATGTTCTTGCATTGTCTCATACATGAGCATTTGGGTAACATAATATACCAACCATGCTACACCAACCATGGGATCCCAGAGCTGGGATTTCATCACCTAGTTCCAGTGATGTCTCACTTCTGACGTCTCTCACCAAAGGTGTTGACATCTTCTGGTCTCAGACACTTATTTATAGAACAATTAATTGGTATTAATGACTCACCCATTAGTTCCCCATAGTACAGAGGGTTTCCCCAACCCTCCCACCCTCCTAAACTGGCCAGATTTACCTGGAAATTTTTATTTTCAAAATGCTGTCTGACCTGCACACCAGGCACTTGGATTTCATTGGTCTGGGATGGAACATCCCAGATGATCCTAATGTGCAGTTAGGACCCATATCCATCAAATAGAGTATTGTGGAACTGAATGAAGGATGGTGAACATTCTCCTCTCATCTGACACTTCTGGTGACTAGTTATAGGTGTCTGAAATGTTCTCTTGGGAGGTTTTCAAACTGCTTTCTGGCTCACAATGAAAAGTCTTCTCAAAATGTAATATCTGGTAGAAGGGAAGTTGCCAGTATAAATGCACATATTTCCACTTTATATCTAAACATACACTTCATGTTCAACTTCTGGTCCCTTTTGATCCCTGGCTCCTCCACTAGGTACACACACAGCCCCACAGGCCCCGTGCAAGAGAACCGTGTGCACAGTTCCATGCTGCTTTGCAGTTCCCTCTGGGAGAGTGACTGACACTAAGCATGTTTTCCTTCAGGAAAGTCTTATTCCTTCTCAGACTCTGTAAATCACCACAGCATAGTACACACCATTCTAAAAACTACCCGTATAGTAACAGACTTCACACCACTCTGATAAAGACTATTATTATCTCCATTTTTCAAAAGGGGAAACAGGGACAGAGGGCTTTAATAACTTGTCTGGGCAGCAGGGCAGAGATGGGATTTGAGTTCCTGCAGTTCGGCTCTCTGGTGTTTGAACCACCAGCTATAGAGCCCCTTGGTTCAGCAGACTCCCCTCCGAGTGGGCCTATAAGGAGACAGCTGGGAACAGGGAGCCACAGCCAGAACCTTCAACAGCCTCTTCCCTCCCACAGGCTTCATCCCCCCACCGCTCATCTTTGGGGCCGGCATCGACTCCACCTGCCTGTTCTGGAGCACGTTCTGTGGGGAGCAAGGCGCCTGCGTCCTCTATGACAACGTGGTCTACAGATACCTGTACGTCAGCATCGCCATCGCCCTCAAGTCCTTCGCCTTCATCCTCTACACCACCACGTGGCAGTGCCTGAGGAAAAACTATAAACGCTACATCAAAAACCACGAGGGCGGGCTGAGCACCAGTGAGTTCTTTGCCTCTACTCTGACCCTAGACAATCTGGGGAGGGACCCTGTGCCTGCACACCAGACACATAGGACAAAATTTATCTACAACCTGGAAGACCATGAGTGGTGTGAAAACATGGAATCCGTTTTATAGTGACTAAAGGAGGGCCGAACTCCGCGTTAGTAATCAAAGGGTCATTTTTCTTAAGAAAAAAGAAAAAAGTTTCCAAAAAAAAAAAAAAAAAATTCAAAACACACACACACACACACACACACACACACACACACACACACCCTTTGTCCTTTTTGTCAAAAATCAGAGCCAGACAGGATTCAGAATAAGGAGAGAATGGGATTGTCCTGGAGGACGCTCGCACTGCTGGGGCTCACAGTCTACTTTGAAGGCACCTCATGGTTTTCAGGATGCCGACAGCTGCAAGCAACAGGCACTGCCAAATTCAGGGAACAGTGGTGGCCAGCTTGGAGGATGGACATTTCTGGATATGTACACACATACAAAACAAAAATCATATAAAAACAAAAGTCTACTAAAAAAAACAAACAACCAACCCAAGTTCAAGTTGAGAACATTGCCAGATTAAGCACTAGTGACATACCCGGTGCCACCCTCTCCCTCCTGGTGGGGGTGGGGAGGTGCACAAGTCTGAGGGGTGGAAGCCCTGCCCCTCTCTAACTTTTGCAATATGGGTCACTGTGTAGACGATTCACCCAGTCTGCATGTGGTTCAAGGCCCCAGAGTTCTCTCAGCGATGCTAATGGGTGATCCGTGCTGGAGTGTGTAATTGGCACCTCTCACCAGCTCCATTTCCATGTTCAAGACTGAGGGTCCAAGGGGGAGCCGGGTGGGAGGCCAGCACCTCCCCTTCCCCTGGCAACACCTCCCTGCGGTGATGCCCACCTCCCCCCTGCCCCACAGAGTGACCTCAGGAAGCTGTGGGCCTTGCCTGGCTATGACTGACCTGCTCAGAGCCGGTGAGCCCCAAACACAGTCCAAGTCATTTGCTTACATTTGCCAAACATTTTGCCATTTTTTCAAAAAAAAAAAAAAAAAATACAATGCATATGAATTTCAAACTGTTGTATGTATAATCCTCTAATACTATTTTTAACTACTTCTAAAACCTGTGTTAACCCTTCAGTCACTAACACAGTTCTATAGATCGGATTTATTATGCTGGTTGCTTTTACTTTTCTCATTTTTTAATGCACCAAAAATATAATGTGATTCAAGGGATGCAATTAATCTATTGTAATTTTTATCATTTTATTTTCACTTAGATATTCTGGAAAAAAAAACAAGAATATACAATGTGTTACAAGAAAAAAAAAAAATGCTTCAAAAAGGGTGTATAATGCAGCCTGCCTTTAAAAGAATCACATTTGAGACAACAGGGGATAATGTGATGAATTGCAAATTTGCCTTCTGGCTTTATTTCCCATGATTCAGTGATCACTGTCATGGGAAGCCCTTTTATATTCAAACTTCACATTCCAAGAGGCGTTCTTTTCAGCCTGTAGAGAAGACACACTTCAATGTGGGTTTTTGTGTGTATGCGTGATGCTTCTGGGGACAGGAGAGAGAAAGTGCAGCTCCCTAACCCAATCTGTTGAGCAGGCGGTGGCATCTGTGATAATAGACCACAAGCTCCGAGAAGCCATCACATGTCCAGTGCATGGAAATGTCAATAGCAGTTCCAGGGCCAATCTTGAACTAAGAGGTCTTTGTGTTTTGAAAGTGGCTGACTCTCAAACAGAGAATGACCCTGTCATTATTTGGGGAACCTCTTGCAGTCAGCCCACTAAGCCTGTATGACCATTTCCATAAGGAGACAGAGCATTGGTGAGCACAGCACATGCACAACAAAGGGTCTCATGCTTCTTCATGGACCTGGAAAGATCCCAAAGTTTAGTTGGTTAGTTTGCTTTTTCACCTCAAACACCTATTTATAGTTTACCCACAAGGCAAGAAAAGGGTGAGGGGTGCTGGGCCAAATTTTTTACAAATACTGTAAATGGGGAGGTCTGATTGACAGCACAAAACTAGAGAAAGCATCAAGTAAAGACAATCAAAAGGGAAGCTGTGTCACTGTCATGGTGCAGGACAAGTGTGATTGGCCACCTCTGGCAGGAGGCTTCCAAAATATTGGCCTGTGTTCTGGAGTGTTAGGCTGTCCTTGTTCATGAACATAGGAAGCTCATCAGTCCCTTAATTAGTAAAAATTCACCAACTGGTTCATATAAAATAGATGCTTTGTCACTCTTAAGGTCTCGGTCACCTTCTGTACAGGTTTTGGTTTGGTTTTGAAAACACACTGCTAATAGGTCACTGCCTTCCCCTATACTGTTTTGTTCCTCTCAACCCAGTACCCATATGCTGAGCCCTGGGACCCTGGTGTGCGTTTCATGGGACTATTCACTTTGAAAAACAAACAAACAAAAATTTCCTAAATGCTTTGCTTCTTGGATTTTTTTCCCCCCTAAACTTTTACAAGGAATGGGAAGAGATGTTAGGATAACAAAGGAAACCAACTCCAGGGCTCAGTTTCAGCAACAATTGAATATAAATTGAAAGTCCCCTGTGGCAAAATTGCTTTCAAGTGTGTCCAGTATCACTTTTTAAAATTCAGTCTAGTTTTAATTTTCCTTTTATGCTATAAAGAACCATCCAAGGCTAAATCTAGCCTCTTGGTCGTGTGTCTGTTTTTGAGTGTTATTTTGATGGAAAGATGCCCTAATAAGATCTGCCTTGGACTTAACAGAGAGCAAAAATGTAAGGGGTGGAATAAATCTAGAAAGTAAATGCTGAGTTCTCTCTCTCACTCGCTACAAACTCCTCTACCATCTTGGTTGAACTTGCCCAAGATCAATGAAAAGGAGGCTTGCAGCTCTTGACAGATCTTTGTTAACTCCTACGTGCAGACCAAGAAAGTTTGTTTTTAAAACCAATGTCATTTCTCCATTGGAGGTAAACACAGTTTGGGGCAGTGTCCTTCCCTGGAGGAAAGGGTTTGCTGTCTTCCTTCTGCTGAGGCTGTGTGCTACTGGATGACCTGTAGCTTGGCTTCTCTCTTCCCATTTCCACCAATGAAAACCCTGAGGCTCCAGGCACCCTGGGGGACTCTACCACTACAAAAGGCCACTGCATGCTGATAAAGGACCAAGAAAATCCTCCTCTCACAGTCCCCTTAAGGAGTTTCTACACAAGGGCAGCCAGCTGGTCCCTGAGGTGACAGCCACCCTCAACAAGAGGAATTTTCTCAGGGGGGATAAGATTCTGCTGAGGCTACTTAGTATTGATCTCCCATACATTCCAGAGGTGGCCATTCCTTGAGGAACATGTAAAATAGAAGTTTCTATGTACTCAGAAAAATCCTCTGAGGCAAGGGAACTGTTGGCTGCCCTCAGCCTGCCCCACTGGCTTTCTGCTGCATGCTGCTTTAGGTCCCGGCAAGTGTGATTTCTTTTCCACCCAGTCAGTCCTGCCAGCCCCAAGGTGTCTGTTCTGGTCGCCACGTGGAGTACTGAAAATACCACTCAGCAGTGTTAAACAATAAAGGTCAATATGCAGAAATCAACAGGGCTGACCATACAGTCAAGACCAGGATCAGGACAGAGCAGGATCAGCTGCTGTTTCTGTTTGCTAGATTGATACCGTGTTCTATTATTGTTGGCTTACTTTGGTTTAGATGAGTGGAGAAACCCAGAAAAGCAGTTTTTTGGTCCAACAGATGGAGAACCCTTGCTACCTTTTGCTATTCTGACCTGATTATATTTTGCTATCTTGGGAGAATCAACTGTCTGGCCAGAAGTTAGGGAAAGTAACAAATAGTAAGGGCTTGACTGCCTCTCTGTGCTCAGGCTACTGCCCTCTAACCTATAGGATAGAATCCAGGTCAAAAAACTAAGGGGCACCAACTTTTCCAAGATAGGGCATTCATGAAATAAGATTTGGCTCAGGAAATCAGTTTGAGATTTCAAATAATAAACTTTTTTTTTCCTGCCCTTCCCCCTTTGTTATACCTGACTCACCCAAATCATACCCAACCCCACCTCTCTGAACAGCTTCAAGGACTTAATTTCTTAGATCAATTAGCCCCAAATGACAGCCTATGGACCCCAGTTCCTCTAGGGTATTATTGTTGATCCAGAGTAAATTGGAAGAATACTGGTGGCACATGTACGGAAGATGTCTTCCAGGGATTTTTGCTAGAACAACATATGAAACCTACACTGACTCCACAGGCACCCAGCCCCGTCTCCCTTCCCAGAGTCCTTGGTCATCATGGCAGGGAAAGCATGGATTAAACAACCTAAAGTTGGAAGTTCAGTAAAACAAAGACAACCTATGCCTCAGGAACCTGGCTGCCTCAGAGACAGGGGCAAGAACTCCTACTTCTCAAAGGCCATCAATCTGGTGGCATGATTTTTCTATGCAGAGTTGATTTCACATGAGGGTACATTGAAATGAGTACCATATTCTAAGCATGTATTTATTCATTCATTCCTGTTTTAAATGTGGGCAATGTGGCAGCCTCTGGACGTGGCCTCTGCCCTATGGGAGCTCACAGTTCAAGGAGCTGAAACAGATCTAGACACGAACAATGGCAGTGAAATATGTTAAGCGCTGGGGTCTGTGTCTGGGAATGAGAGCTGATTCTTTGTGGTTCTAAGAGTCAGGAAGACTTCAGAGAATGGGTGGTCTAGGAACTAAAAACTAAAGAGCAGCGGGTGTCTGCCTGTAGGATGGTGGGAAGACAAGGACCACCGTGTTAAAGGGGGCCAGCACAGCAAGCCCACGTGCCATTTCTACAAAGGGCCAGGTCGTACACATAGGTGTTATAGGTCATCCAGTCTCCATAACTACTACTTAACCCTGTTGTTTTAGCCTAAGATCAGCAGACAATGGGTAAACAAATGAGTGGGCTGTGTTCCAATAAAGCTTTATTTACAAAGACCATGACTGGAGGGAGGGCTATAGTGTGCCAGTCTCTGTCTGGAGCACATGCTGAGCACCACAGCATGTCTAGGGTGCATTAACAGTTCAGCATAGGTAAGACAGATCCTCATACCCAAAACTCTGTCATAGCAGTGTCACAAAGGGTCCTGGAGTAAGTGTTCATCAACCCTAATGTTCCCAGCCCTGAGAATGAGATTAAGGCTTCTCATTTATGTCTAAGAAGAAGGTAAGTATCCCTTTGTTGTCAGAGTTTATTGAAGGCAACCTTATTTTTCTCTTGTATATCATGGAGAAAATAAACTGTATAACCTATGGGGTCATTCTAGCTCTGACACTTGATAGTTCACCTAAAGTAATCGACTTCTTTAACTTAAATGATGGAAATGGATACCTGAGGGAGACATATAGGGACTAGGAAAAGAAGAGTGAATCAGATTCTGGATAGAACTTCAAATCTCTCCCTCCTCTCCAGCAACACAAAATACAGGCACTCCAAAGCTAATAGATCTGCCAGGTAGAATAATCAGCAAGTACTAATAATAGCTAATAATCATTTCAGCTAACATTTGTCAAGCACTTAACTCTGACTAGCTGCCAGGCTGAACTTATTTCATGTATTACCTCATTTAATCTAAACCATAACCCTGTGAGACAGGAACCATTATTAGCTTTATTTTACAGGGGAGGAAAATGAGGCTTGCGTGATCCAGAATTTGCTGAAGGTCACAAGCAGAGCTGGGATTCAAACCCAGATCTACGAGTCCAAAGCCCACATTCTTAACCATTGGGGTATTCCTTCCCTCCCAGGCAAGATATGGGGGACCCTCCTCACATTTAGGGACTGCTTGAATTCAGGGACATTTGGTCTTTGGACGGAATGGACTAGGAGGCGCCATTCTCTTTCACATGCCCCTGATATAATAAGCAGGATATCATGGCAGCTGTTTTCTGGGGATATTTGCTTTTCCCTCGTTACCTGATCTTTACCCAGTGGATCCCAGTGGTCCATTTATGTGAGATGTTCTACCTGAAATGAACAGGCAACAAGTAACAGGAGATTCCTCCATTCTCATGCATTCTGAAATGAACTTTCAAAGCACTGAGATGCCGTGGAGGTATTCCTCAGAGCTGGTCATCAGCACAGTGGAGAGTCCAGCACACACCGTCAACCTGGGGAGCTCAGGCCCAACCCAGGGGCTTCAGACACACTGAAGCCACTCACTGGTTAGATATGTCTTGCTCTATTCCCAGGTCCCAGGCACAGTCCCAGAACAGTGTCTAG